TTTCTCAGTTTACAGGGAAAAGAGTTTTTTCAACAGAGTGACAGTTCTATTGTTACCTTTTTGCTTATTAGCAAAACTTATGTGTCTTTTATTGGAATACTATGAATATCTGCCTATAGCAGACTTTTACAGAAGTATTACTTTAATAAACACACTAGGATATGGCACAAATATTCTCTGAAACTTGAAGGTAGTAATAAGGAAGATGAATTAACTTTCTTTTCTCTACTAGGATGAGGAATTTTTTAATTCTAAACCCTTCTCACACATTGCAAGTTGTTCATAGAAGCAGAAAATTTATTATCAAACGAACTTGAACTTTCTTGAAATAAATGTAGGATGTTTAATTCTCTCAAACTGGGAGCATTGCCCTGAATAATTTGAAACTGCAGATAAAGGAAAATTGTTTGACATGGAAATTTTGGTTCTGTTTATTGTTTTGATACAACAATGTTAAAAGTTTGTATTCTCTTAGTATACTTTACATTTTATGTTGCAGAGGAGAGCCAACGTGATATTTTAAATATTTCAAAGAGAGGCCAATAGATGAATAATTATATGATTATATATAGATAATTAGTATATGATATAGCCATGTAGTTAAACTTTGATTAAAGAATCTTCAGAACAACAGTTTTATATAAAGTCAGTCATGCTAAGTAAACCAAGAAAGTTTTTTTAAAATCCTACAAAGCAGAGCTGCTTGTTTTCAGCTGCATAATTAAAAAGATCTTCATTGTATGGCTTCTATAATGTTTTTAGCTAATTTGTATTCTCACTAGACTAATTTTGTAACTCTTTGTTTTCCTTGGTAGAAGTGTTTCTCTAACTTCAGATGCTTAATAACTAGGGTTTTTTTTTTTTTTTAAATCTATCTTTTGAAGCTCTTTTCATTCATTTTGTTTCCGTAAAAGGAATTTCAAGGATGAGGAAATTGAGATATAAAAACTATTTGGCGATAACATTGTCAGGTATTTTAGAATACCTATGGGTTATTAGAAGATGCACTTTACTACTTTTTTCCATTGGATGCCTTTTAAAAGAAGTGTTTGTGGGCTGATTCCC